CGTTGTGGCACGGGGCGCCTGAGGCAAATACCTGTTGAGCGCAGCAAGGGCAAATTCTCCCGTGCCGGACTTGCGCGGATGTTGCACTTGGGTGCGATCGTGTGGGGCCCGCCACAGTACCGCTAGCAAAGCAAGCCCTTGCTTCTCGTGCTTGAGATAGCGACCCTCTCGAGCAAGCCGAGGTCGGTGCTCAGGTGGCTTAAAGTTGGGCTGATACGCCTACCCGCGGACAAAATAGGTTAGTACAGCCTTGTTGCGCGAGAGCGAAACGAGCGGAGAATTATAGGGCAAAAACGCGGTTTTGGCTCGCCGCCCGCCGCCGACCGCACGCCGCCGGCCGCCCGCCGCGCACACACCGCCCCCTCCCCGGGCGTCCTGGCGCCACGCGCCGCACGCAGGTGGCGCGGGGTGCGGCCGCCGACCGCCCACTCATGCCCCTCCCCGGACTTCCTTGCGCCTCGCGCAGGGTGGGGCAAGGGCGCCGACCGCCCACTCACACCCCTCCCCGAGCTTCCTTGCGCCTGGCGCAGCGCGCGTGCGGTGCAACGGGCGGTATGGGCGCCGACTGCGCATTCACGCCCATCCCCGGGCTTCCTGCACCGGTGCGCGGAGGTTGGCGCTGCACGGCATGGGCGCGAATTAGCCTCTCGCCGGCTTCTCCCGGGTTTGCTACGCCGGCGCACGTGGCTGGTGGCCTGGGCTTAGGCATGACTAAGGGGATGAGGGGAAGGGGTGTGGGACGCCTCTTGTGCCATGCGCTGACTGCGCGTGGTCACTTTTTCGCGTTTCGCGCACGGTCGTTACGCGGTTTGCGTAACGTCTATGGTGAGCCTCCCAACATGATGAGTGATCCTGCACCAGCGCGCGGCGCACGGGTGGCGCCCGGCGCGGACGTCGGCCGTGCACACGCCGCCCATCCCCGGGCTTCCTTGACCGGCGTGCGCTGCGTGGCCACGCGCCGTGGGCACCCCAGCTCTCACCGGCTTTCGCCGGGTTTCCTCCCCGGCGCCCGCCGACTGGGGGGACTGCGCATGACTAAGGGGAGGCGGGTGTCCGGGACACCTCTGGTGCCATGCACCGTGTGCGCGTGGTCACATTTTCGCGTTGCGCATGCAGCCGTTACGCCCTACAATGCGTACGCAGGAGCATAGGAACAGGTGCTTGCGTACCCATGACCACATACTTGCATGGGGCCGAGGCACTGCGAGCAGAGCAAACCAAGCGGCACTTATGCGAGCAGCCGGCGCTGGCGATCGACACCACTGGTGTCCTCCGCTGTTAGCGATCCTAATCGTCTCCGCCTTTGGCTGAGATCCGTCAACCCAATGGGGCCGTACTTGAGACACCCTGGTGTGGGGAGGGGGGTTGGTGGGCTGGCATAACGCCTCGCCCAGAGGGGGGAGGTTGGAGCTTAGGGGTGCCGGCAATTGTGTGGCTTGGCTCGCTGGATAGGATGGATGAGTTGGAGGACAAAATAAGAAATTGTGTCTCGCCCCGATCTTCGTTGTGGGCACCCAAGAATTTCTTGGGTGCCCACAGGTACGATCAGCGCAATACTCCTCGGAGCAACAGTCTAGCAACCTAGTAGGTAGTGCTAAGCGCCTACGCGCAGCCTACTAGGGGCTGAGCTGGTGGGGTGTGCATGTTTGGTGGAACGATGTGAGCGAATTGACTTGTGAGATCTGATAGCATCCATCGACCGCCCGGGCCGACCGACGCCACCATACCGTGTCGGACGTCAACCTCTTTGGGGTGCCCTGGTCGCCTTCACGCGGTCCTATGGGCGAGAGCGTCCTGGTGGCTTGGGGATCAACGGGTCAGCAGTTGGGAGCATAGCATGCTGCCAGTACATTGAGCGATTCTGGTGGTTGGCAACGGCCGTTGCAAAAACAGCCCCAAATCTGGTCCACACACTGCAGACAATACTCCAATGGCCCGCTATACGGGCACAGGCCACCTGCCACGGCAAGACCGTACCGCTGGATGGAGAGATACAGTGGGCTGGGCTCCGCAGGCCGATTTCAACGGGACGCCGTAGGCAAGGGGAACCAGGGGTACTTGGACGTTGGTAATTCGTACGTCAAACAGGCTTCCACCTTCTTCCATCACAGACCGAACCCCGCTGCCAGCATAAAAAGACCCCCGGCCCAGTGGCGCCCAATCCGGTTCATTCTCCAGTGCTTTGTGGTCGTGGTCTGCAATTACGTTGTGGATGCTGGGGGTGATCCACGGGCGCCGATTTCCAGACGCCCATCCTTGCAAGTGGCCCAGTGAGTGACCCTGCCCTGTACACCCACCACTGCGGGGTTGGGCGCGTTGCACGCCCCCCGGCGCTCTTCTCCACGAGCCGCGGCCGGGAATCCCTCCCAGAATGGCGTCTTCGCATCGTTGAGCCACGATCGGAAGATGCGCATAGCCTGCTTCGGAAGATGTCCCAGCTGTCCCGGTGCTGCCCACGCACTCTCGGTTGGCGTGATCCCATGCGGCGGTTGGAAGCGATCGGGGAGGTCGCGTGCCTCGAGCTCCCACGGATGCCGATCTCCTGAGCGGTACGCAACCTCCAGTGCACCTTTTGTCGCCCGAATCATCCCTGGGCTCGATTCGCTTATGTGCGGAGGGGCGCAGCGGGCGCCGCCGATTATGTGTGCCGGCGGTGGCTCTGCCGGCCACCGATGGTCGTCAGGCGGCGATGCGCGCGGCCTTCGAACTGGTCAGTCGCAGGTCAATGCTGCTGTTGGGGCCTTTTCCGTTCTTATCGCTCTTGTGGGCGCAAATTTCCCACCTAGATTCGTGCACAAGGGAGTCGCTGCCAGGTCGCGCCCAACTGCGCCACGCCCCCCCCGCCCCCGTGCGGGGCCTCTTCCTGCCACTCGAGACGTGCGCGAATCCGTGTAAAGCAAGTTGGGCCATGGAATGTTGTCAAGCCTAGGCGAGGGCTGCCCCAGTAGGCCTGGGGAGGCCCCGCGCGTTTTTGCCCCTCGGACGCGCGGGGGCATCCTTCGCGCGGGATTGAGAGTGACCGAGCTTTTCCCCCGAGCCAATGGTTTCATCCGGTGAATTCTGCGTGTGGCCTCCGTCAAGGGTTGTGAAAGGCAGCAATTCGTTCACCCCAAGAAAAGGCCAAGCATGGTGGGACGACCATGGCGAAGCCGGTCTCGGCGCCCAAGCCCCTCTAAAGCCTCCCGGTCCACCCAGAGGCCGCGTATGATAAGCGGCCCTTGGACAGCACCATTGCGGGTGCAGAAGCTGGCAGTTTTGGCCATTTTGTCGCCCGCGCGAAGGTTTGCTGACGCTGTGGTACGAAGCGCGTGGTGTGCAGTCGCTGCGGCATCGCTAGTGCTCCTCTGGCCGCATCGACTGCCGCATCGCGGAGTTGTACAATGCGCCAGGAGCACAGCGAGCTTCGCACAGGAAGGCCGTGCGGGGCCAGTCATCTGTTGCCTTGCGGGGCTGCTGCTGGCCACCTTTTGCTCGTTTTGCAAGTGTTTGGGCCGCGGTGCTGCGAGCAGAGGGCGTCTAACTAACGCTTCCCTTATGCAGCCGTACGAGGGGAGGCCCTTGCGTCGGCCTGTGCGAATGTGTCATCTGAGGAAGTCCATACTGCGACTGCTTGTGGATCGCACAGCGAGCAGGTCGACCATGTGAGCTGCCATCTCAAGAGTCCCCGCAGCGGCTCAACGTGCGGAGTCGTCGTCCGTTCTTCAAGGCCCTGCACTTGCTTGTTGTTTGGCCAGCAGCTGGAGTGGAACTGAAAGCGTGGGCTTACTCTGCGGCATGGTGTGCAGGGGGTGCGCCATGGCTGCTGGAACATCAGCCATGCAAGGGCAAGCAAGGGTCCTCGCTTCCCAGCTTGCACTGTGGCCGGTCAAGGGGCCATCATCGGCAATTTAAACGAGCCTTCCTTGGATTTCGCTTGTGGCTGTTTTTGCTTGTGCTCCAGCTGGGATATGGACTGGTGGGATGTGCACCAAACAACACAGGTGTGCAGTCTGCCCCCAGAGGTCGGACCTTTGCAGTTGCAAACTGGAGCTGGGCAGGCGTGCCCGCACAGTCGATGTCAGTTACAGCATCTGTGCCTTGTTGCTCACTGGCATCCAAGGAGTGGTGTATTATGCACCCTGTAGGTCTGCATTCAAAGTTGGTCATGCAAGGCTTCAGAGGATGCAGGTTGACCTGCAGTATTTCTCCTACAGTATGTTCTTTTGGAGCAAATAGCTGTGTCACACATATTTCATGGTCAAGAATGTGCCACACCAGCTATGAGCAAACTGCGCACAGTACTCAGAGGGTGTTGCATCTGAAACACCTTGAACTGCATGGAACTAGTTAAATGGACAAACACGGTGTGTGTGTGTGTGTGTGTGTGTGTGTGTGTGTGTGTGCTGAAAGCTCCTGTCAAATTGCTGCCATCACCAGCTAGGTGTACTGTCAGGCAATGTGCAGCATGGCTCATGGTCGTAGGCTAGGCTCTGAATGCCCGACTCGGAGGAGAGTGTTTCAGAACAATGCACCAGAACTTTAAGGCTCGATACCTCGCCCTGCTGATGCCTCATTGACAGGTCTTCGTATGGAACCCTGCAGAGCAGTGTGTGGCAATGGGCTAACAGGTTCTGTGCTTGGTTGCAGGTCCGAGGTTGGCAGCAGGGAAAGTTGCGGTGAGCCCCTTGGCAGCCAAACGTTAATCTGCAAAAATGTCCTGTGGTGTGCATCTATTTGCCTGCACCCATGGTCCTGGCCATTCCACCGGCCCTTCCTGTGCCCATTGTGTGCCCATTGCTCACAAGGTGTTCTCCGTACTGCAGGGTGGTGTGGATGCCCCGAGAGATCGCTTTCCATACATCGTATCCATTAAGAGCTATGGCCATGTTCATGCCTGTGGCGGGATCCTCATCCACCCATTGTGGGTACTCACGGCTGCTCATTGTGTTGGGAAGTACGGGAAGGCTGGCCACAATTCTATTGTTGCAATTGGTCCCCATGGCATCGATGACAATGGAGTTATGGTGAGCATGCTCCCAGTAACGCTGAGTTCTTTGTCATTGCCCATTGTAATTACAAGCAGGTCCCTGGAACTGGAGTTCACATGTCTGGCACCATTGGCATTTTGCTACACTCTGGCCATATCATGTGCTGGCATTGATCGCAAAAGATGTCTTGGATGCCAGGGACCAGTGGTACTATATATATATATATATATACAGAGGCGTTCTGTTTTGCTTGCTGTTGTGCCAGGACCCCTCCGGAGTGCCAAATTTCTCTTTTCCCTTTTCTTGAGACTGATGATGCTTTTGGATTTGAACAATTTGTGGGCTTTGTGTCGCCATGCACACTTCTGCTAGGTGGCACAGAGCTTTATATCTTGCTATTCAACAGGGGAGGCACCTGCATGCTGGAATGTGATGTAATATTGGGGAATAAAAAGGGGTTAACGACTGCAACTGAATAACATATACCCAACACACTGTCACAGTGTGGGAAATGCACAACATGCCAGTGTTCTTTGCAAATCCTTTTGGCCACTTTGCAAAATTTATGCCAATGCGCATATGTGTGCATATGCCCACCTTCAGAAAGTGCAGAATGCCTTTTTATGTGTCACAGACAAGATCTGAAAGTGGTTCCCAATGTGAACACTGAGTTTAACTTCATAGCACGTTCCTGTTTTCCCCCTCACCCTTCAGGTGTTAAGGGTGGAGAGTACTATCGCTCACCCCGAGTACGAGAGACCGCAGTGTGGTTTTGACATCGCCCTCCTCAAACTTCCATCATATGCTGCTGTGGAGTTGTCTTCTGTACCTGTGCCCATGCTGGCGGAGCCTGACACAGACCTCATATTTGGAACCTGGGTGTATGCCTTGGGTTGGGGCATGGATGAGCATGGCAATTTGCCGCCTGTTCTGCAACTGGCAACAACATTGCAGGTTGTAAACAATGCACTCTGCCCCGGTGTTCGTCACATGAAGGACACAATGCTGTGCGCTTTTTCTCGCAAACAGAGTGCATGTGGAGGTGAGAATCATGAGTCTCAAGGCATTCGTGTGGTGGATTACTTGTGCTGTTTCCAGCATTCTGTTCTGTCTAATCACCTGGAGATGCCAACGGCTGCGATTGTGAACATATTCAAGTCTGCACCCTGATAAGAATTCCATCTTATGCAAATGCCTTCCTGCATTATGTGAGTGTGATGTGAGACAATGCTGTGCTGTTGAGCATGACCTGGTTTGGTGTCTTTGTTGCACAACAAGGTGGTCGCCTTCAACCCTCCACATGCACAGGCTTTTCTTTGCTGGCAGTTGTTACTTACTTGATGCATTGTCGCCTTGCCCATTTGGAGACACCTGCATTCCAGTGCTGCACAGAGTCCTGAATACTTGAGCTTGGAAAGCAATGCCCGTTGCACAGACCACTCACTTCATATCGTCAGGCAGTAAACAAGTAGTCATTTCTATTTGAAAGGACTAAATGGTTATTTCAATAGGTTGCAAACACCCAGAAGAACACTGGAAAGCCCCCAAACCCCTAGGCAGCTGCCATTTGGCCTATATTGAGTCGAAGACTAGAACCAGTCAGGTCACATATTCAATGCAGTGTCCTCCCAAATCCTGGCTGTGGATTGAGGCTGGAAAGAAGAATTTCATGTTACCATCCTGGATACTGAATATGATATGCGCAGTGCAATTCGATGAAATATTTATGACTTGTAATACTTGCATATCCTGCATCTGGGTTTATGCTGGATGTCCTGTTCTTGTGGCTCAGGTGATTCTGGCGGCCCCCTCCTCATACCAGACTATGTGGGGACTGACGTCGAGGCAGGCCACCCCAGGGCTGACCTCGTGGTCGGCATCATTTCCTTTGGGCCCGAATGCACAGGGGAGGCTACTGGCAGTGGGTACACGAAAGTGTCATACTTTCGGAGCTGGATAGAGAGCGTCATGGTCAGGTGCGATTGTTGTTGTATGGTGACTGTGAAGATACTCGCGTTGGCTTTTACTCAGACGACGGACTTGACCACTCCTGGTTGCAGGAAACAGACATCTTGACATGCTGAAAATGCTGTCAGCAGGTCGAAACCAAAGCATTTATAAACAGATTCTATGTGGGGCTTTTGCTTCCCTTCCTTGCTTGCGCTGCTAGCAGACTGTTGGCCAGTTGTTCTTGCTTCTCACAATTGTACTGCCCTTGTTTGGACTTGCCCATTTCCAGCGAATATGGAGTGCTCCATCTGAACATCTTGTTCTTTCGTTGGGTGCATTTCTGCTGCCCCGTCCAATGATGACGGCTGCTCAGTGCTATTGTGGAGGAGCACGGTACTGCTCAATCGAGCTTCATGCACATCGCTAAATATGTCATGCACCTTGGCTGCCATGTGAAAACTTATCCGTTGTCAACATTATGATTCCGTGCAACCTATCTTGCAGAGAGACAGTAGGGAGGAGAGCCGCCACGTTGGGCTGTCCCGGGTGATGTTGATGCCGGAAGGGCGACAACAGGCATGCAGCGCGGCTGGAATCGATAGTCTCTTGGCGTGGAAGGGAGCAGGGCCTGCCCAGCGCTCACATGGAACGCATTTGCCTCACTGCCATAGGCCAAGAACATCCGCGCTGCGCCAGTCAACTGTACACAGTTCTTACCAAGAAGCTGCGTATGCGTCCACCAATTTCGGCTTTGGAAGGAGGGCAGATGGTGGCTTGAGAGACATTAGTAGGACAGATGGCAGACTGGGCTTGGCCTGGCTTCTGTAAAATTATTTAATGCTTCGCTGATTGAATTGGACTCAATGCTCAACAGTTCTCTTCCATGAAGAATCCACAGTTCGCTGCATTTGTCGCCTCCAGCATGCACCGCTAAAGACTTTTAGGAAGGCAGTGTGCTGTCGTGTATGAGAGTGCACATCTAACCAACAGCCAAGTGGCTGTGGGCGTTCTCGGGCGTCAAACACGTGCCTTGCTGAGAAGACCCATGGAAGTGATCGGCTTCAGGACGTGCCTCTTCTCGAGATACGTATATCCACGTATACATGGAATTGCAAAACACATCTCCTTCCTGTGTTGTATGGCAGGCGCTGTAGGCGTATCTCTCCACCGCCAACCTGCAGGCTTCTGTGTGCAGACACCGTCTGCAAAACCAAGTCTAAAGAAGTCTACTTTTCCAGTTTATCAGGTGATCTGTGGTAAGCCAAAGAAACTGAATTAGAGTCCCCTAAAGGAAAGAGACTCTCGTTGCTCAAAGAATTAATCTCGAGATGCATTCTGGAGCATTTTTCTGTTGCACCATGCTCATCAGCATCACCAAGTGTAGCCTGCACTTGCTAATTTGTATTCAAGAGAATGGTACTTTGAGTGCTGTTCAGCGAGCTTTCATGTGCAGCCTTTCGCACCCCATTGTCTTACCCCTTTGGGGGCAAGCACGCAGGCGTTTGGCAGTGCCATACCTCATCTTGCCCCTGCCCCTCATTTGCGATATAAGGCAAAGAGGGCGGCCTCATGCGGCAGCCGCTGTCCGCTGTCAGTTAAAGCGGATGCGGTTGCCTACAGCGTTTGTGGACAAGGGGCCCGATGTCGTATGCCCGGTGGTTGGGGCGTGCGCAGTTGGGAGTGGAATCGTTGTCTCGACCGAAACCGAGCCGCCGGCGGTGGGCCCAGGGGACCGGCGGTTGGTGAAGTTGAAGCGTGTGGAGTCGTCGAGTCGTCACAAAGGTCGTTGGAAGCTGCTGGACTCGTTCGAACTCGCTGTGCGTGAAACGGGAAGGTTGAAAACGAACACAAGAAGGTTTGATGCAAAGCGCAGCTGCGTGGGCGCTGCTTCCAACGTCGTAAGTGACGCCAAAAGGCGAGCCCAAAGCGAAACCGTGCTGGAAACGGGTCAGAACCCAGGAGTCACCGTCTCTCGCTGTCGCTCGGACGGTAGCCTGGTCGAGCGCCCCAAAGCCTCACGGCTCCAAAGCTGCAGAGGCCCTCAGGCCTCGAAGACGGCCCAGAGTCCTCGGAAGGCTCCAAGCCAAACGGCCCACAGCCCTGACGGGGCTGAAAGCCACGACGCCCTAGAGGCCATGCGCCCAAAGGGCTGCGAGTTTCAAAGGCACCAAAGAGAAGAGATAGAGAGAGAGAGAGAAAGAGAGAGAGAGAAGACAAGAGGTTAAAGTGCTGCTCCAAATGGTGGTAGAGGAGGAAACCGCTGCGCGCTCGCGCTGAAGTCTCCCCGAAGTGTCACTCAAAGGGTTCAGAACCAAATGTCATCATTCATCTGTCAATCAAATGTCCAGTCCGCATATTCTATAGTTTGGAACCTAATTTAGTCAATGTCAGTTCCCAGAACGACAAGTGCCTCTCGTCGCTTTGCTCGTTCGTCACTCTAGTGTCCCTTCTAAGCATCATTGGTGTGACTCTTCACGTGTGTGTTTCTTCCCCAATCGTCTCACTCATCCTGAGCCGTCGGCCTCTTTTTCTGAGGCGTCAAAACATCACTTCTACACCGCCAGAATGCCTCCCGAAGTAGCAAAACAGCAGCTGGCGGGTGGCGCCTCCTCCAGCTGACTCGGCGCCCAAAGCGCTCTTCATTTAGTCATCATTTGCACACTCATTTGATGGCATAGCCGTGCAGTGATTCGGGATTGTCTGTGGTTGTCAGTTGGGTGGTGTAGAATAGTGTAGAACGGTGTAGAACAGTGAATATCCTCAGAAATCTCCATAGTCGTCAGTGTGGGCGCAGATGGGTAGCAATTCTTCAGGTGTTAAAACTGCCGTTAGTCATGAGCACCGGCACATCATAGGCGGGCTCATGACCTACATAGGGCAGCTGACTGGGCCACTATCAAACAGCCAGTCAGGGTGAACAAGAAAGAAAAAAGGAAGCCAGCAAAGGAAAAATAGATATGCGTTCACAAAAAGAACAAGGGAGAGCCACTATGCAACCGGCATATCAAGAAAATATCAAAGGCTTGCTGTATCGTTACAGTTTATTATGCTTAACGTGCTGCCTGGACAATGTTTGTAGGGAGAATACCAAGGAAGCAAGGTCAGTCACAACCCCTCAGTGGCTGATCTGGGCATGATGAAGAACACTGATGCCACCTGATTGGGGCCTGATGGATCATAAATAGGATCGCTGGAAGTTTCGGGGAAAGCGGTGAATAGTTGCTTGAGAAAGGCAGCGTCAGGAAACTGAATTGGGTGGACACAAGCTATCTTAAGTTCTCAGAAGGTCCGAGGGTTTGAACTTCACGATCGTTTGATGTTGTGCATTGTAACTGTAGTCTGCCTAAGGATTTGGCCAAAGAAGGATAACTGGCTGTGTGCGTGAATGGGCCGCCTTGAGGCGTTCAGCCCAGGGATATCAACAGGACACATGGGCAAAAACTGGATAAAGAGAGTTGCCCTTTGAGCATGCCATTAATCGGCTGTGAAACAGTTAAAGGGCTTCTGCTGCTTATAAACTAACATAACTGAAAAAGGCGTTTACCAAAACTTGATGATAGCCCCGGCTAGCTTCCACACTAATAGTAGGTCGTTACGGTTGAAGAAAAGAAAGGGGGTACAGATAGTACATGACGATATAACCAAAAATGGGCAGGATCATCAGGGATAGCTCAGACAAGTCCTTCACTCACTGAAGTAGACGTAGGACAATGTCAACACGATGAACAGGAACATATGACAGCAAAGGGAAAGGCCTTGACGGAATGTGATGTGTAGTTTGTTAAAACGAGATTTCAACTGCCTAGAATAGCTCGCCTTGACGGTGACGCGTTGCTAGGATTGGGTGCAAATTTGCTGAGCCA